TTATTATTCACAAAAAAAAAAAAATAGTTTTAAAGTGAAAATATGACTGACCCAAAATGTGTTCTTAATACACACATTTTGGTTGATTTTGACCTGCAGCCATAAAAGGTTGCCGACCCCTGCACTGATCGTAGATTAAAATATGGTTTAACTGTGTATCTACCATAACTCTACACAAAGGGCTAGAAGCAATTGTTACCTGAATCACAGCAGCCATAGCTGGTTTACTTTCTTCTTTTTACATACTCTAGAAAAGTGTCTTCTCTTTCTGCATTTGTTAACAATTTTCATTTCAAGCAGGACACCTATTGCAAAGATGATTCATATAACCACAATAAGGGAACTTACATTCAGTAGCAACCAATGTGTACAGGGAAAAAGTAATATGTTCAAGATTGTTTAGATCATCTTGCACAGACTCTTTTTGAGTGGAAATCCTAATACATTTACCATGCTAGTATTAGAGAAAAGTTTCCAACTGAATATAAGCAGATACTTGGATACATGCAAATTCTAAAATACAGTCATGTGACAAGGCTTACATTATGACTTTCTGAAAGATGCTGATAAATCTAAGGGGATTTAATGGCATCTTCAAATCCAGCACACACTGTTATATAGGAGTCAATTAGGAAACCAACAAAATTAACAAGAAAAATAAATTTACTCGTGTTGTCTATTTCTGTTGACAATACGAAATTCTCAAAAGTTCACTACTAATGAGACCACTGTTGAGAAGCACTGCTAATGTTCAGGTCAGTATTAAAGTGTTCAGGTTTAAGTAAATCATCCATCCTATGTAAATTCTAGACACAAATTTTCATATATAGAAAGATGTGACTTTAACAAAAGGTTTTATTCATGTGTAAAAATACATTATAAGAACATGATGGCTGCCAGTTCAAATATCATGGTTTTAACTCTAAACATGTCAGAAAACATGCAGCCACACTGTGACAAACTACAACAGGTTGCAAAAAGTACATCATTGAACACAATGGGGATGAAGAGAATTAAGGCATTACTACTACATCTATGTGAACTTTTTTAGTAGTATTAGAGGCATACAAATTTGTTCTTATAAGCCTACTTACTAGTCATGTGAATAAACTATTAACAATATCTTCAAACCTGTTACTGGTGTGTTCTCCCATGACGATTCACAACAAAAAAAATATACAGTTCGTTGTGAGTCATTGTGGGAGAACACACCAGTAACAGGTTTGAAGATATTGTTAATTTACTATACTCCAGTGTTAAGTAAGTGATTTTGGAATAAACTATTGATTAGAAAATATATGCAGAATTATTAAAGTCATTTCTTTATTGTCAAAGAGGGTTCTGTAAACTATTGTACACATAATTAATTAATTAAAGAGGAAGAAGTTTCCCAAAAGTACATTGTACACAACAGGAAAAGAGAAGATCAAAATTGGCTCAAAAAAACTATACATCTAGATCAGGGATCGCCAAAGTGGTCTATATCGACCCCTGAGGGTCGATATAACATTATTGGGGGTGGTCGACGAAAAGACTAAAACTTACAAATTTTGAACCGAATATTGCTAATCTTGCTAAGGTTTATCAAGCTTATCCGTCTTATTGATTGTCAGTTACAAAAATTATTATTAACATATGTACAATAAATGTAAAAAATGTAAAATTAAAAGATATATATAAAAATAGTAAGAGGTTTTTTTTTGCTTGTAACAAATTTTTTGATGGGGGTCGATGTGAGGTTTCGAAAAGTTGTAGGGAGTCGACGATCAAAAAAGTTTGGCGACTCCTGATCTAGATAATGGATAGCCCAAGTAAATGAATATTTGCAAACCACACCGGAATAATGATAACACCACGCACAGAAACGAATAACTGGTGATAAATAAGGTTAAACATCAAACAACAAATGTTTTCTTAACTCCTTCCAAGTTCTTCCTCAGATGTTTAACCTTATTTCCCACTGGTTATTGGTTTTTGTGCATGGTATTACCAAGTAAATAAATATATCATTTAAGATCTATATTTATAATCAATGTATCCATATTTGAAGATAAATAAGCATATGACAGTGTTTCACGTAAAATAGACATTTAATGAACATCATAAATCTAATATTTGTATTCTATTATTGGATTCATCTAGTAATATAAAAAGTATATTGTATGTGAAAATATTGCAAAATATTTAAAAACAATTTATTTTTGGTTATATCAATATAATCAAAACTAGAACCCAATTTGTTTGTCATACAGTATATCCAGAAACCAGATTATTTATAGGCTATAACTGAGCTAATTATTAAATAATTAACTTGATTATAGTTCATAAATAATCTGGCTTCTAGACACTCAATTATGATAACTTCTAACAATATAACTCTTTCTAAATATTAATTAATTAACTGATACTAGGAAATCAAATGCCAATTTTTTCTTTGCTAGAAGTCATAACTTTATACAATAATTAACTGAACATAATTCTACTGTTTCTATTAATTGAAAAAGTTAAAATTCAAAAAATAAACCACAAACTTCTTAGTATACAGTATAACCAAAAATACACAGAAAAACAGAGAAGATAAGAAAAATTGTGAGGTAGAATGAAAGTTTTTACTTAGTTATTCACGTTACTTTTTTATTTCAGCTATCCTGTTTTAGATATTGTTTTGTTTTTAAAAAATTCCAATATCTCTCTCAATGCATCTCAAGTTTACTTGCTCATATGCATAATCATATTGATGAAGTTACTGGAATTGTATTCCATAAAAATAATTTTTAGTCCTAATTTCAATTAATAAATAAAAAAGGAAGTGTTCACCCATAATAAGTTACTATGATAAGTTTTTCAGTAACGTATTTTCAAGTTGTAAAACATTATGTAAATTAGAATGATGTCACTAATGTGTATAAAAGCTGATTCTAACACTTATCTTAACTGACTAATCAACAGAGTAAAAAAAAAAATAATAAACAAAAGCTGAAGATGTATTGTAATTACTTATTATTATAGATTTTGGTGATAAGTTGTTTTTCTCTGATTGGGTTAACATTAGTTATAAGTTTGGTGTTCTAAGTAGTTATGTTATAATAATTTTGATTAATAATGTGTGAAAAAATACTAATATTTTTGTAGAAAATCATGCCAGTACTTGCATTTACTTTTAATAGAATTTCTTTCACAAAGACTTCTGGTGTAATTTGGTTAATATCAAAGTATTTCCAAGCACGTTTCTCTTCTTAACCTTGGAATATAATGTGATTTTATTTTATTTTGACTGTTGAATTATAGGCTTATTTTTGTAATTATTTTTGCACTTATTGAAGTTAACACTTTATGGTTTGCATTTATTTTTGGAAGCTTGTATTTTTTTTTTTTTTTTGAAATTATTAAAAATTTACATTTAAAATAAACTTATATATAAATCAAAGTTTTTTTATTAAAAGAATTTAATAAGGAATTATAAATTTAAAAGCAATATTAAATACTCTGATTTAAAGATACCTCAAAAGCTGGAACTTTTCTTTGCTATAAGAAAGCCCACCTTCCTTTCTCAGCAAAAGATTTTTATTATAACACTACTGTGAAACAACAATTTTTATTGCAAGTATTGAGGTGAAAGTAATGATTAAGGTGTTTATTTTTCAAATTTTATTCTGTACATTGACAGGAATATTCTGAAAGTTTTTCTGCCATTACTTATAGTTTTATTTTTAATGTTACATGATATGGGAGTTGTCTAGAACAGTGTTCCGCAACCTTTTTCTACTTGCGGCACACCCATGACTCAACACGGCACACCAAAATGTTATTCCCCTCAAAAACGTATGATATGATACTGTTAATAGAATTACGTAATGCCACTAACCTATTATTATTGTTATTAAGCAAACATCAACACCTGTGAGCAATTTTTTTTTTACATATAATTTCTTAGAATACATAAAAATGTGTGGCTTGTAATAAAGAATAAACAAATATCATCTTATTTCATCAGTGCTGCGGCAGAGAGTGAAATACAAGCATAAGTAACACAACAACTGTGATAAAAATATATAAATAAAATTTGAAATTAACAGAATATGTAAAAGTTCACGTCACACCTTTCACCATGTGACGGCACATCAGTGTGCCGCGGCACACCGGTTGAGGAACACTGGTCTAGAACAATGGTTGGCAACCGATGGTCCGCGAGAAAATTTGGGTGGTCAGTGGTGAAATTTGAACAGTGATCAACCAAAGGTTATGCGAAATATTAGAAAAGAAATTAAAAATGCTTAGTTGCTTTTTTCACTCATTGGAGTTTTTTATTTGAATCTAAAACCAAAACCAAAGTGACTGTTATCAATAAATAATGAACAATAAACAATATTAAGAGTGCGATTGTCGTCCTTTATGGAAAAGCACAAAAAATCCATAAACTTGTTTCAAACAAGCAGCAATGAACTTTAGGCTTGCATTAATTTGTTATAATTAAACATGTGAGTTTCATATTAATATAGTAAAATTGAACTTTTCTGATCATTATTCTACAGATTTTGTATCGTTTAAAAAAATTCATGATAATGGTCCACGGGATTCAAAATTGTGACTTTAGTGGTCCATGAGGTGAGAAAGGTTGCCAACCACTAGTCTAGAATACCTATTAATTTTGTTTTATTTCCTCAATAAAACAACTCAAAAATAAATTTAAAATCACAAAATCAATGATTCAACAAATTTTACTTCTAATATTCTATTGAAATATTTCTCAACTTTATGAATTTTTAATATTTTAATTTATTTATTGTATTTCTCACAAATAACATTAAATGATACTAAAAGCAATATAGATGATTTTAAATATGTAAATTTAAATCAAATAATATAGTTATATATGTCTTTGCAAAAAAATAATTGTCTGTAGCATTCTTATTTTTCTAACAGTCATCAGGCATGAAATTAGTCTTATTGATTATAATTTTACAAGTGTGAAGTAAAGCATGGAAACAATAAAAACTTACCCAGCAACGGATGCAGATCCAGATGTCGTGACGTCATCATGACGATTCTTCTTGATCAAGGATGCATAAAGAGCATTGCGCTGCTTAAAACGATCTATCCAGCCGTTAGAGGCTTTAAAGTCATACATTCCTAGTTTGGTGGCTATATCTAAAGCCTTCTCCTTTAAAAGATTGCTATTCATGGGAAGACGATGCTCTTTGGCTTCTTTAAGCCATTCTGTCAGCACGTTCTCCAGCTCTTCATAAGGAGTCGTTTTCATCTTCTTTCTCTTCTTAGCGTACGGACCACATTTAGCCGCATTTTCTTCGATAAACTTTCTCTTTTTAATGATAGTATTTAAAGTGGAAGGTGGTAAACCTAAACGATTGGCCAAGCAAATTTTAGGGCCCAAATTCGCATCCACTTGAGCCAGAATCTCTAGTTTATCAGTCAGAGTTAAGATTTTTCTCTTTTTTTTGCTCTCCATGCCGGACGAAGCAGTATAAAACTGTTCGCTTCTATTCCCTGTTGCAATTAAAATGATGCGAATCGTTTATTTTACGTCATTGCAAAACCGGGGAAGAGCGCACGACACCTCGATTTTGCCACTCTCGACACCTCGTTTTGCCACTCTCGACAACGCCATCTTTAATATGGCTACGTTCATTAGCAAAAGTCTCATCTACGAAACTAAGCAAATATTTAAGTAAGTAAAAATAGTGTATAGAAATATCATTATATAATATGTTATCTGCGTAAAAATGAGCGGAAGCAAGATCATTAAACTATTGTTTCTGACCCCGTTATAATGATTACGCTTTTTTTACTGTTTTTGTCCTGCAGACACTAAGAGGGCCTGTTTTTTATCAAGTTCGTCACAGGTTTCTAAGCTCAAATAGGGCAACCGGTTGGTGAGGTACAGACCACTCCTAAAAAAATCCTGAATTTTTTGACCTGACAGGAGTTCATTTATTAGGCCGGATGGCCGAGTGGACAAGGTGGCAACCTACAGCTTTGGGAAACCAGGGATCGAATCCGGACGGGTCGAAAAAGCTCCAGGAATTGTGCAGGTGGTGGTTCGTTTGGATATGTCAGGCCCCATTCCTCATTACCGGGCCGAACCCATAATGGGCTTGCTAAAAGAGGCCCTCTTGGTGTCCACAGGGCGGAAAGAGATGGGAAAAAATTGATATTTTTTTCCAGATCCACCAGCGCGGTAGTTTGACACCTTAACTGCTCGGCCATCGGACCATCAAGTAATGATCATGCTGTAAAAATATACAATTAACTCTGTCACAAAAAAAGTTAGAATGTAGAAAACTTTTAAATTTCAAAAGGATAATTCAATATAAGATATAAAGTCAACAATTTTCTACTTAGAAAAGAAACGAAAAAACGAAAGAGAAGATAAACAGAGGAAGATACTGTAATGTTCGCTAAAAGAAGAAAAAACAGATGAAACGAAAATATTTTGGGGACTATGAGAGGTTTAGAGAAAATATTAGAATTGAATAAATTAGTAGTCTATACACTGAAAATAGGAATATAATTATTATAAGTGAAAGAAATGCTACAGAATAAAACTAAACTAAAAGGGTCATACAAGAAAGACATCGATATCAAAATGGATATAAAAATAATATAGATAAATAACAAGCAGAAATTTCAATAATTTACTTTAAACGAGTGAATACATTTAATCGCTTTAAAGCAGGTGTTGGCAACCTTGTTTTTTTTTTTTATTAATTCTAGAGAGCTCATCTGAAATGCGTCACGGGCGCCGCGTTCCCGACCCCTGTTTTAAAGTACAGTATACATATAAAACCAAAATAAAATAAATAACCGACGTAACGAATATACATCAGGCCTATAAATATATCAAAACTCAATTACAACTCTGGATGACCCAGTATCAAATCTGGGAGGTTGAAACACCTCAGAAAGTTTTAATAGGCAGTTAGTCCAGAATATGTCTGGTCTTTTCAGGACACACCCTCGATGTAACTCATAATGGATATGGGGGAAAAAAGGCCTTTTTAGTGCCTATAAGGAAAATACCGTAAATTAGAAATAATGTTGATGACGCATAGAAATGAATTATAAAAGAAATGTTAAAATAACTTTTTTTTTTTAAATTCAGAAATAGGCACAATATTGAAGAAATGATCTCAAACGAAAGTGGCAATATGAATAACTAGCAGACTCCGCCACGCGTTGTTGTGGCTCAAAATGTATCTATTATCAGTGGCGTAGCGTGAGTGTCAGCCGCCCGGGGCGGAGGAAAATTTCGCCGCCCTCTTATTTAGGTATCTCAATTTAAAAGACTAAAATTCAGTTTCGTCACAAAATAAGTAATGAAAAATTCCGTGCTAGCGTTGCCACTTTTTTAAAATCGCTGACCCGAACGGCAGGTGAGGTTTGTTCGAACAGAAGTTCCTGACGCATGCGTATGTCATTTTGCAATGCGAAGAATAATTTGCAGTGCATGCTGGTTCTAAATTAGTTACAGTTAGCGACTAGGGAGGCTTGGATAGGAGTGACCTAGCTCTATAGGATATTGATATTGAAGGTGTGTATATATATATATATATATATACGAATAAATCGTACAAGAAAAAAAAGAACAGGCGCACGCCATCCCCGGACGGCGAATCGATTCCGGACTGTCCGGATGGTATTCCGTGCTCATTTCACTGGTCCGAATCGTAGGTGCACGAAAATATGAAATAAAATGGTTCAAATTCTTACAAGATATTATTATTATTTATTGTGAAATTTTGCCACCCCCTAAAAAGTGCCGCCCCCACTACGCTACGCTACTGTCTATTATAAATGTATCACACTCCCCCCGTGGGGGGATTTTTTGAAAATCTCTTAGTGTACATTTTCTTGACGTACCCAATTAAAATGCAATCAAAAAATCAAAAAACCGCAGCTGAAATAGTATGATAGAAACCAAGTTCTTCACGGTAAGCCTTAATCCTGTCCCTCTCTCCCGCTGGGGGAATATCGAAAAATCGCTTTGTAGTGTATATTGTGTTGACGTACTCTATTAAAACGCAATAAAAAACGCAAAAAACCGCATCTAAAATAGTATAAATAGAAGCAGAGTTCTTTACGGTAAGCGCTACGAGTACGACGACCTAAGTTTGCTTTTCTGTGAGGCATTATGCTTTTCTGTGAGGATGAACTAAAGCAGATCATCTTCTATCTATCTATATAAATAAAAGTGTAATGTTCGTTTGTTCCTACCGATTCCTTTGAAATTTTGACACAGCGCTGCATTCGAATACGCACGTGTTTTTATATAATATACGTGTCAAAATCCTGTCCATCTCCCTGGGGGGATTTCGACATTTATATTATATAAAAACACGTGCGTATTCGAATGCAGCGTTGTGTCAAAATTTCAAAGGAATCGGTAGGAACAAACGAACATTACACTTTTATTTATATAGATAGATAGAAGATGATCTGCTTTAGTTCATCCTCACAGAAAAGCATAATGCCTCACAGAAAAGCAAACTTAGGTCGTCGTACTCGTAGCGCTTACCGTAAAGAACTCTGCTTCTATTTATACTATTTTAGATGCGGTTTTTTGCGTTT